AAAGATAAGCATATGAGCTGTATCTTCACTTCTCTAGACAAGCATATGAGCTGTCAACATTTCAACTAGATGAGCAATAAAAGATTCGTCTACACTCTTTAGTCACATACATTCCCAATTTTAACATTCTCAATTCAATTCCTCATTTTCTTCAATTAATCGTATGCATTAATTAATTAATCCAATTAGGGCAAATTACCATAATTCACAAAACAACCCTAAGGTTCCATTTCCATCAATGTCCCAACATTAATCTCATTTCTCTATGCCTAACATGCATATAGGTTTATATATTTAAAACCCCAACTTTTGTAAAATTACACAAAGGCCCAAACTTTCTCAAAATTACCCAACAACCCCCAACATATCAAAATGCTAAAATTCAAAGACAAAGCTCATAAGATGGAGTAGGTTATTCCTACCTCGAATGATGGGACCCAACGAAGAAGATGAAGAAACGAAAATGCTCCAAATCCCGAAATTTTCAGATTAAAAGATAGCCCTCGACGATCAACACAACTTTTGTAAAGGCCCAAGGTAAGAAAACAACTCCTACTAGATCAATCCTAAGAGAGAAGTTTGGGTTTTAGTGAGAGGAACTCTCAAAATAGCTTTTTGGAAAAGTAGGAGAGAGAAAGGATGTTGAAAAGTGAACAAAAAAGTCAGATCTTGGCTTTATATAAAAGTCGCCCCGCTCGAGCGTCCAAACCCCCGCTCGAGCGTCAGTCACAGACTCCCGCTCGAGCGTCAACAATCCCACTCGAGCGGCGGATACATACTTCCAGAACTTTTACAGAACCAGGTCTCCGCTCGAGCGTCAGCCCCACCGCTCGAGCGTCAGACACAACATCCCACTCGAGCGTCAAAGCTCCCGCTCGAGCGTACAACACTGCAGAGGAGATACTGGAAGATGGAAAACTACGCTCGAGCGTCGAAAATCCCGCTCGAGCGGACAGAAAACAACGAAGGGCCCGCTCGAGCGTCAAAATCCCCGCTCGAGCGTGAAGGCCAAAAACTGGGCAACTACTCTTGGTTTCTAAGTCCAACCAATCTGTTTCAAACTCGCCCAACACAACCCAAGACTCGAATGCAAGGAGTAAAGGATGTAAACAAGATATACACGACAACCAACTCCACGGAACCTAAGTCCGGATACAACAGTTAAAGAAGAGGGAAAACTGGGATCGCTATATGTTGAGGCATTAACCAAAACGGTTTAAGTAATGCCGAAAGAAAAAAACCGAAAAGGATTAGAAATGATCCAACATCTTCACCTGCAACACCAGAGCCAATCAACCTAGCAGAAGATGATATCTCACCCTTGAAGAGACCAATGGGTAGGAAGGCGGAAAATGAGCGGTTGAAAAAAGTAAAGAACCATGATAGTTGTTCTCCAATTGTGGATTTACTGAATGAGATGAAAGAAGAAAGAAAAAAAAGGAACTGAGAAGAAACTTGAACTTCTTCAAAAATCTTGTCATATTCATCCTTCAAGGGCTCGAACTGAACAATTAAAAGAGGAAGAGAGAGTCATGATGATTGATACAAGTGAGATGTCCCCAATGCAGCAAGAATATTATCGTCTACACCAACTGGTAATCATTAAGAGTAGGAAAAAAATTAATGATGTGGAGTAATTGGATGATTTCTATTTGGATGATTGTAATATTTGACATGTTTGACATGCTTTTATATTTGGATGTTTTTGGAATGCTTTTGGAATGTTTATGTTTTGATGTTTTTGGAATGTTTATGTTTGGATGACTTTATGTTTGGATGATTAAATCCCAAATGGCTTCCTTGTATGTATGTTGTGGGAAACAAAACTGAACTGGAGGAAAACCATGGCTGGTCGTCCCACCGGATGTCCCACCGGTCGACCGGTTCAGCTCCTGTGTTGCAGCTGCTTCGCCGTTGATCTGTTGTTGTCTTGGGCCTTATTTTATACCTATTTTAACATCATTTTGCACTCCAAAAATATGGTTAAACACAAGGAAAATTTATGGATTATAATGATTGAATTAAACCTTTTCAATTCAATTATAATCCATGTTTCAAAATAAATCAAAACATAATAAAAAACAATCAAAAATGGAAAAGAAAGATAATTTTGTTCCTCTCTTTATTTCCTTCACATGTTCTTTTCGCACCATAGTTTTTGTTTTAATATTTTACATTTACTAAAACAAATAATTAAAAACATAACGCATTTATTTGCCAAAAAATAATTAAAACATGACACAATGTCCTACGACTGACTATATAGTTACCACAAGTGCTCAACAAGATCTGATTAGAGTTGAGAATGAATTGCTCTGTTTCTGATGTGGTGATTTTGTTGAATGAATTCCATAAGCTCGGTTGTACGCTCATATGACACTTGTGCCAAAGGGGTTTCATAGATTTGTTCAAAATCAATGTATTGTGCTTCATTGTCATCTCGCTCATCCTCAATGATCATATTGTGCAATATTATACAAGCCTTCATAACAACTTTAATTGACTCAAGATTCCAAGATCGTTCAGGTCCATGCACAATTGCAAAACGTGCTTAAAGCACCCCAAATGCACGCTTCACATCCTTCCTACATGCCTCTTGAGCCATAGCGAAATGTTTTTTCTTGTTTCCTTGTAGACATGGAATTGTTTTCACAAATGTTGCCCATGGTGGATATATATCATCAGTAAGATAATATCCCATTATATACTCATTACCGTTGATAGTGTAATTGACTGGAGGAGAACGCCCTTGAGAATGCTCAATAAATGCAGTAGACTTTTCTAGTACATTGATATCATTACGAGACTCAGGTAAGCCAAAAAATACATGCCATATTCAAAGATCATATGATGCAACTGCTTCCAAAATAATTGTTGGTTCATGGGTGTAAGCAGTATACATACCTTTCCATGTAGCCGGGAAATTCTTCCATGTCCAGTGCATACAATCAATGCTTCCCAACATTCTAGGAAAGCCACGACTGTTGCTAACAGCTAGTAGTCTAGCAATGTCATTGTTGTTTGGTGACCTCAAATATTGATCTGAATAAATTTCGACCACCGCTTTGACAAAATAATATAGACTCTTCATTGTGGTACTTTCTCCAATCCTCAAGTATTCATCCATAAAATCAGCTGCTACTCCATAAATGAGCATTCTAAGTGTTGCAGTCATCTTCTGAAGGGAAAATAAACTGAGCACTCCAGCACCATTTCTTTTCTGGACAAAATATGATTCATGAGCTTCTACCACAAATTGAATACGAAGAAAAAAAGAACCTTTCATTCGAAACCTCCTCTGAAATATATTGGAAGGATATACTGGTAGATCAGAAAAATAATCTAGAAAGAATCTTTGGTGACCTTGCAAAGAATGGCGCAAAATGAATTTGCATCGTCGATTAGAATTGTGTCGTGATCTTGATGAACTATTGGCTGCTAGTCGTTGCCCTTCCATAGCAGCTATTCCAATTGTCTCCAACTCATCGTCGGAGTCAAATTCATAAAGAATCATATCGTCTAGAGAATGAAGATCCATATAGAGAAAATAAACACAAAATGAAATAGCAAAATTAGGTTGATGTGGATGAAATTTAGATAACGATAGGTTTTATTTATATTGAAAGAATATGACCGTTAGAATATGACCGTTACAATATAGCCGTTGGAATATAATCGTTAGTAGGGGTGTGCATAATACCGCCGAAACCGTCAAAACCGCACCGAACTGCACCGCCAAGGCAAATTCGGTATTATTTGCCAATCGAACCGTCGGTTTTTGGTAAGAAAAATGGCAAATTCTAATGACACTTTTATCAATCCGCCAGTTTCTATTTTTCTTCCAAACCGCACCGACCCGCACCGCTATTAAATCATGTTTTATAAGATTCTAAAAATTCTTTTTTACTTAAGTTTGCTTGTTGTTCTATACCTTAGAATATAGTATTACGATTAATGCAAGAGGGAATTTCAAGACGTCAGTAATCCAAAATAAAGTTGGATTCCGATTCACATTTCAATCTTTTTTTTTCTGGCCATGTTGCAAACTTGCATCAACTCACTTTTCAATTTAAATACTTTTCAACAGTAAACATTTTCAATATATTGTAAACCCTGAATGATATTAATTTTATTTATTATGATCATTGTAGCTTCCACAGATACTTGTAATGAACTGATGGCATAGTCGTTGATATTATCATGTTATTGCTACACTGCTTGCATCAAAGAAAGCTTCGCAAGATGCTTAACATCACGGTATCTCTCGTCTTTTTTAACTCTTTGATTTAAGTTTGTAATTTGAATATATATTTATAAACCGCCAATCCGCCCGAACTGCAAGGTAAATCCGCCATTATTTGCCAACCGAACCGCCGATTTTTGATAAGGAAAATGGCAAATTCTAGTGACATTTATCAATCCGCCACCCGCCATACGGTTTCTATTTTTCTCTCAACCGCACAACCCGCACCGCGCACCACCTAATCGTTAGAATATAGCCGTTGAATATGACTGTTAGAATATAGCTATTTAAAAATATGATGGTTTAGAAAAAATATATTTAAATTGAAAAAGATAAAAGAATAAAAAATAAATATTTTAATGAAATAGAATTTTAGAATAGAGAGTTTGATGGAGTGTGTATATATAAATAAGAGGCTAGCTAAAATAGAAAAGTGAATTTTGGGTTATTAATTTTGACTCACAATTTGCTGAGGCTGATGCGGATGTCTTATGATAGATTTTTTTTGACTTTTTTTTATTTTATGAGAGAGAAAAAGAAATGATTATGATCTAGATGTGATATTTTGTCTTATTAAACTAAAAAATCTATTTTATCTTTTTATAACTATTTTAATCCAAACTCTATATGTCAAACAAAGTCTAAAAAATCCAAACATGATAATGGCAATGTCTGCACCACACCAGTGGAGTGGCGACCCACCTCAACAACCATAATAATTCTAGAAATATAGAAATGTTTCACATGATGAAAAATTAATTATATTTAGTACTTGTGTATTTTTATTAAAATTTATTGGTAATAAAGTACCAAAAACAATCTCTCACTATGTTTAGAAAGATATAAACAAAAACTTAAAGCCATAATGTCGGTATGTACAAGCATAATGACACATTCAAATTCCTTTTTCTGCACCCACAAACTTCCAAGCTGACTTCTATTGTCCCATCTTCTTTCCAAAGCTAATAACTACAAAACAATAATCAACAGTAACAGTAAGTATAATCAGTTTAAAAACGAGTCTATATCATTAAAAAGAAAAATAAAAATAAAATTATATCAATAAACAAAAGTATTTCTACCTAATGCTTATATCTCTACTTATTTCCCTTTCAAAAGCATGTAAGAAATACATAGTGACAGAGTGAATGCAAAGGAGAATTGCCATTAAGAATTTTAAAAAAAAAAAAAATGAATTTTTATTCCGGTACATGCAAGCTTATGTTTGTGTGTCATGTGTATGTATTTTATATTTAGTTTTCTGCAAAAGGCTCAAACATGTACTCACTTATTGCTATTCTGTGATAGAAGCTGGAAAAATTTCTTTAAATATTCTAAAATGGTGGAGTGTCACAGATTCGTCCAAAAAATTTTAAGAGTTGGCAACATAGTGGCTGTAATGGATATATGATGTGATGAAATGTATTTGAAAATCTTTATTTTATGTAGTTTTGTCAATTATTTGGTTCTCAAGAATTACCTGTTGTTTCAATTAGACATAGATTGACTGTTATGAACTAAGAGATGGTAAAAGTTTGAGCAACTTTTTGGTGAAGGCAACACAAGAGGGATTATTTTCTGCCATTGATGATTGCTAGTCTTGAAATGTGGAGTAGAAGACACAAACTAGAAAGCTATTCAAGTTAGATTGGATCTTATAATGGCAATATTAGTGTTTCATATGGGTAAAATGTTGTTAATTAGAAGTTTTTGTGGAGTTTTGTATTAGTTGTTATGTTGTTATCTTGCTAACTAATTCAAACTTGTTGATTGACTTCTTGACACATTTGGGCTTTAGCTTACTCTTCTTTTGTAATATCCTATCGCTTTAAAATGTGTTATTTCTTTTGTAATATCAAGCATTCCTTACTCCTCTTTGTATTGTCTTATCTCTTAATAAAGTGTACTTCTATTGCATTATAACGATTCCATTTTCTTGGATATTTTACTTCTATTACACAAGTTGAAATGTTTTGATACAAAAAAAGTTTTGTTTGGGGTGATCCTATGTATACTACTGCCAAGTTCCCTTCCTTTCCATTTTGACCTTATGATTAGGGTTTTAGGATGTTTGATTGAATGCTAAATGACATTCTGTGGAAGAGAGTGAAAACAGTTGATCAGGATGGCAAATAAGGTGTTAACAATTAAATACAGATATAAAATCAACCATATGTTGAGCCACACAAAATACCTCCAGATGAATATAAGCATTCTGAATGTCTTTATCTGTTACTTGTTACTGAGGTACAACATAAGGCTTCAGTTAATGAGTAGCAAAAACTCTGATGCGTGCAGCACCATTTCTCATGTGTAGACACAGCAACTGAACTTTCTTCACAGCTCAAAACCAAATATCTGCATGCAGCAAGGAGTTCAATGCAAAGATATATATAGGGCTCCATACGTCACGCTGCAATAGCTAAGATATCTCAAAGACTCAACCTGTGGCATAGAAAGTCATTGAGGAAATGGACATAGATAATGTTTTAGTTTAGCATGATGGAATATACTAGTTACAGAACAAAGCTAGAGACGCAATTTGTTTTTACCAACCTTTGCAAACAATAGAGAAGAAGCAAGTTTTTCCAGAAACAATGGAATGGCAAATGGCTCAAAAAGAGGTGTAGAAGCAAATGCCATCTTGTAGGTGAAAAATAGTGTTGGTTAAGAACTAAGAAGGAAATATAACTTTCTAGTGTACCGAAGAAGCTTGATAAAAAGCAAAGAATTGTAGCCCTTTGAAAGCCACATATAGAGGGAAATGTAAAATAACTCAATCTAGAAAACAACAATTATTAGCTTTAAAATGATTACCAAATGAAAGTTTTCTTTCTATCCACATATTTGATGACAAGAAAATTACACTTCTTGCTGCTCCCAGTTTATAAAAGCATTTAAGCAGCACATAAATATGATTTTATGAACAAATACAGATTAAACTTTGAAACATGTTGTTTGGATTGTTCGGTTTTCAAAATGCATATTACTATTTATTTTATTAATCAAACACCTTCCAATCCAAGTTGAACAACAAAGATAAATAATAAACAATACAAGGCAAGGTCAACATTATCATTTCTGACAATAAGTACAAAATCAAATCACACACCAAGACAACTTAGCAGAGCTTCAAGCTACTTAACTTTGGCTACATAACTAACTTTTCAAGTCATTTTCGTAATTAATAGCTCAACATCTGTTGTTTATCTATATAGGCAACCACTTTCTAAGGGCGTACAAAAAAGCCCTGAACATTTGACTAAAAAGAAAATATAATCAGGAATTAATCAAAATCACTTTTTGCACAACAGTGTTCTATTAATAAGTTGTGCATAGAAATTGTGGGATATAGGTAAAACAAACCACAAGCCTATGCAAGTAGAAATATCATTAAAAAAAGAGAAGAATATCGCTGAAAGCGCTAGAGCAAATTACATACCACTAGTGCTCTTGACAGCCATCCTTTTTCTCATCAACTTCTTCACTTTTGGCTAGTTTGAAAAAATAAGAAAATGAATTAGCAAGAAAAGAAAATATAGTGTAAAGTAAATGAATCAAAATACATGCATTTTCACTCTTCCCGAGAGAGAGAGAAGAGAGAGAGAGATTGTGAAATACACCTTTTATGGTGCCCTGCCATCAACCACAAAATCTATTCTAAATTTGCTTTGAGCGGAAAAAAAATCCAAAAAATTAAGTCACTCAACATGAAGCTGGTAAGTCGAAGCAATGCATTCAACAAAACACATGAAAAAAATCAACTTTATCTATATAAAGTCTAGAATTCAATGAGGGCAAATGCATACATTCAAACAGAGAAATAGAAACAAATATAAATAATCTACTAGGAAGCTTTGAATGGGCAAACCTTTTTTGGTCTTATTCATTAACTAAAATTTAAAATTGCCCAGGTTATCAATTCTCCCATGTGTATGACTTTAGTAGATTTCAACTTAGTCTTACAACTATAGTTGTTGTCATATGCAGATTATTCATGGTAATTTTGTCAAACATTGGTGATCAACCCACTTTAATAGATATTGAGTTCACAAGTATGATTAATTAGTTTACAAACATGAGTTCAAAGGGAGTCAGTGGGTGGAAAGAGTGAAAGAGAGAGATGAATGAGGTACAAATTTGTGGTGTAGAAAAAGAGAAGTCCTTGATAAAGGCCTTGAGCCAAAAGCTAATCTGACCTTGAACAAAATCAGCAACATTCGCATAGCCCCTAACCATTAGCACAACTAAGACAGACTAAAACATCAGCATGAACACAAATCACAACATTCACAATCAACAACATTCTAATATATGCCTATTTTCACGTTTTGTTCAATAAAAAAAATATAAATTGCACTATAAATAGAATTATTACGCCGTTATAAAAAAAGAATGAATTAATGAATGATGATCTATTTATTATGGTGAAATCAAACACTACAATAAGTTAATAAGATGAAGACGAAATGTTCACTTTTTAATTACCTACAAGACTCCAAGACAAGTAGTTCACTATAATAATTGAATATAATCATTCAATTCTATTCTATTTATTCTAGTATGACTCTTTCTATTCTTTTCTTTTTTTATTCTGTGAGAGTGAGACAAATGATTTAAACAAACAAAAAACAAATTGCAGACACCATGATTAATGGTGGGACACCAACTTAGATATATAAATAAATTGAAAGAGGGGTCTGGTATGGGTATGCTGAAAAACTTCTGAATTGCAACTATGGACTCTTAATGTAGAGTTGTCTGTTGTGTGTAGTTTGTTTTGGTTATTGGGTCATATAGATTTGTATCTATCTCTGTTTATAGTAGAGAGAGAGAGAGAGAGAGAGAGAGAGAATATTCTTAACAATGGTGATGAATGGTTTGGGGGACTGCGTGACTACACTTTGAGGTCCCCACAAGCGTCGTTGCGATCAACAAAATAAAAACCCAATCCATACAACAGCAAAAATCAAACCCAATCCACATATATATATATACACGCACAAGCAAAATCAATCCACCAAAAATTATACACAAAAACAACATGCATGTATCAATCAATTAAAAAAATTAGAGAAAATACTTACAATCTGTTCCCAAAATTCTCTCTTTTCGGCTGTACTTGAGATTAATTATAGGATTTCAATAAACAAAAAAAATAGAACTGTAATCAATACATATATATAATCATTGATAAGAAATCGGAAAGAAGAGGAACATTACCTTTAAACAACTATACACTAAAAATCACAAAGCTTCACAAAAACATAGGGTAGAAGTAGCTCGAAGTATTGTTGTTGATCATCACAATGAGAGAAAAATAGGAAACTGATTTGGGAGTGGGTTTGCTGAAAAATAAGGGCGCCAGATTTTAGCGCAAAAAATCTGGGTCTTTTCATTTTAATATAATTGATAGCATATAATTTTTATTTATAGCATTTATACATTGTAATTAAAATCTTAAATTATAAATATTTCACAACATGTATGAAAAACTATTAAAATTATATTAAATGTTTAAAAATTGAAATGTTCTCACCAGATGCTATTTATTATAAAATGCCACAAAGCATCACATTTAATAGCATTTTTAAAAGAATGTTATAAAAAAATGCTAAATGTGTTTTTTTGTTGTAGTGACTTTAATTAGAAGTGTGATTAATATATATATATATATATAATATATATAATCACACTTAAGTAGAAAATGACATAAAAAATAATATATCACACTTAATCAGATTAAGTGTGTTAAAATTTGAAATTGTATATTTTATAATAAAAATTATTTGAAAATTTTATACACATCACACCTATTTAGGAAGTGTGGTTAAAAGTAGTAATGTAGATATAATCCATTTTAATTACAAATACATAAATAACACACTTTAATTAGAAGGTGTGATTAAAAAATATATAAATAATCACACTTTAATTAGATTGTGATTAAAAAATGTATATAAGGTGTGATTAAAAAATATATAAATAATTACACTTATTTAAAAAGTATGATTAAAAAGTAGTAGTGTATATATAATCACACTTTAATTAGAATGTGTGGTTAAAAAATATATATATAATCACACCTATTTAAAAGTGTGATTAAAAAGTAGTAATATATAAATAATCACACTTTAATTAGAATGTGTGATTAAAATATATATATATAATCACACTCATTTAAAAAGTGTGATTAAAAAGTAGTAGTGTATATATAATCACACTTTAATTAGAAGGTGTGATTAAAAAATATATAAATAATCACACTTTAATTAGAATGTGTGATTAAAATATATATATATAATCACACTTATTTAAAAAGTGTGATTAAAAAGTAATAGTGTATATGTAATCACACTTTAATGAGAAGGTGTGATTAAAAAAATGTATATATAATCACACTTAATTGAAAGGTGACATAAAATATAAATATTATCACACTCAATCAAATTAAGTGTGATTAAATTATCAATCTAATTTTTTTTATCACACTTTCAATAAAAGTGAGATATTTTTTTTTATCAAAGTGTGATCTTTAACCATTTTTGTAGTAGTGTAAATTACAAATACACTTTCTGAGATTTGCTTAAAATATCAAGTGCCCCTGTGGTTTAGAAAATTACAAATACATTCCTGTCAGAATTTTTTATTTAACAGAATTAATTGAAAAAGTGAAATTTCTAGCTGTTCACTTGTACAATAATAAAATTATCTGAATTATTAATTGAAATAAAATTTTAACATTATGAAAAACTGTTAATTAACTTGATGATTTCTTAATAAAATGACCTATTTGTTATGAAATTAGAAACCTTAAGGGGCATAATGTAATTTCTAGAACCACAGGAGGTAATGTGTAATTAAGTAAACCTCAGGGGGTGTGTTTATAATTCACCCAATTTTGTTATAATTTTGTTATTTTTAAGGGTAAATTACAAACACACCCCCTGAGCTTTACTTAAATTACAAATTACCCCTTGGTACTAGAAATTACATTATGCTCCCTAAGGTTCTAATTTCATAACAAATAAATCCATTTATTAATAAATCATCAAGTTAATTAATAGTTTTTAATAATAATAAAATTTTATTTCAATTAATACTTTAGATAATTTGATTATTATATAGGTGAACAGTTAGAAATTTCACTTTTTTAATTAATTTTGTTAAATAAAAAATTCTGACATGAAGGTATTTGTAATTTTTCAAACTACATGAGGCAATTTGTATTTTAAGCAAATCTCAGGAAGTGTATTTGTAATTTATCCTATTTTTAATTATAACAATTAACTTTTTATACTAATGTTTTGTTTGGCTATGTGGGTTGAGTTGGGTTGGGACTAAATTAGTTACTAAAAAATAAAATAGATTAAATTGTCAATAAGATAAAATGTCACATCCAAATTAAAATCATTTTCACTTTTTCTCTCACAAAGGTCAAAAAAGCCAAAAAAGACAATTCAAGTGAACTTTTTAGTCCCAAACTAAAAAAGTCTCAACTCCAAAAAACCAACTAAATTTTTTTTGCCAAACAACAACTAAGTCAAGTTATAATCTCACATTTTCATCCGTCTATTGTTAACAAAGTAGACAGAACTCGTCATTTGAAGAATGTGTGACATTCTTATTATCTCATTACACCCTTACACTTTTATTAAAATCTCAATAAACTACTTACACTTTTACCAAAATCTCTCTTTAGTCCACCCACTTTCAATTTCCTTTAGCTTCATTAATGATAGATAGACAAAATGGCGAAATTGAAACTTGATTTAAAATGTAAGGAGTTGATTACTACAATTGAAAATAAAATTATCAAAGTGAGATTTGGATGAAATTGTAAGGGCAAGTGTAATTTATCTCATAATGAAATATAAATGTAAGATAAGAACGAATCTTATGTGATGTGAAATCCACATATAAAACTCACATTTTATCTCACATCTTGTTAGTAAAAATTAGAGATTATTTCATTTTTACCCCTATACTTTATACGATTTTCAATGATTGCCCCAGACTACTCTTGTTTTCACGTGTATCCCCATACTATTTAAGTTACTATCAATTTTGCCCCTGCCGTCACATTTGAAATAGAAAATATTAAAAAAAATTACATTTTGACCCCAAATTTCAAAAGAAATATGCAAACCCACCCTTTTCCTACCAGCAAACCACCACCACCAACCACCACTTCAAGCCCTTCTATCTCATTCGTCATAACTCCGTTTCGCCTCATTTTTACGTCGTTGTATTCGAATCACAGTCTAGTTTTCGTATCACATCTCACACGTCTCGTTCTTCCTGTTTTTGAATGCTATCAGAGCTCCGAAAGTTGAAAAAAAAAATAAGACTTTTCTTTTCATTTTTGACTTTTCTTCGAGCCATCTTTCGAACTTCATATCTTTCTTGATTCTTGACGGTTCTACTTCACTCTTTAGCCATTCTCTTTATCTCACTTCCTACTTCGCCCTATACTACCTCGCTTTCTCACTTCTTCAT